CTGTCGACGACTTCCTCTTTTGAAGACTGCCTAAAGGCAAGTTGAGGACAATCCTGATTCCTAATCGTATAAATTTACGACGAATTGCAGAAGCAGTTCAACAGTTTAAAATTTGAACCATTTCGAATCGCGGTTTGTTATCATTGATATCTAAAACATTGATGACAACGTTTGCGTATGAAATCATTGGTTGTGCATGCTGATCAATCGCAGCAATCCAAAGATCGTACTTGCTACGGTATTCACGATCCACTTCGCTCCTGAAATTTAAAATTCATGAAAGTCTGAGATAGTATCTGCAAAGTTTTCATTAGTCAAAATGATGTTTTTAAATACAGTGGGTGAGAGAAGATGTTTTTGGATAATTTTTTGATCAACACGTTAGAATACACATAATTTTTCCGGCAGCCAACATTTCACTCAATTTTAGCTCATGCTTGGAATGCTGGGAATATAGTAGTTGACAAGGCATGTATTGTTAGCTTGAAGTATAATAATTAGCTGGAGGTGTAGTAATTATCTGGGGATACGAAACCATCTAGGGATACGGCAATGATGCAAAATACTCGTCAAAGTCAAATTAAAATTTCCTCTCCCAGCATTTCACTCTCCCGCTGAATGTGGTAGCGCTCGGCGATAGCCAGGGTTGTACTGCAGCGCCAATAGTAGACGCTCGCTGGCAAGGCCGTTGATGGTCTTTTGTTCGAGGACTGCTCAGAAGCAAGCTTACCAAAGCTTTGACTTTCAGGTGCGAGTTAATGCTGAAACGAAACGCCGAATCGTGGAAGGACTGGGTGTCCCTCTAGCAGAATCCTCAACCAACTTCAGTCTACGGGAAATGCGCTTCCCCTTACGCCTTTAGTTATCAGTAATTATATTAATTTTAATTGTATGTAAGCATACGTAGTTAACAATTCGCGAGTATGTGAATCCAAGCGAAAATGATGGCGTGGATCGCCACCAACTATTGACAGTAATATTCCATTTGTCGATACGTTTGCTGATCGAACAGTAAGTTTTGTGACCAATTTGTTAGGATCATGTTCGACAACAGTAAATTCTTGCCGAGGCAAATTCTGGAAAAAATTTAAACGACTGTTGAGAATTTGTAAACACATAACAATAAAAAAAGGTTCAGTTATTATCTAAATAGAAGCTAGATAATCAGGCTGATTATATTTTCATTAAGAATACTAAAAATTTAAAAATAAAGTATTTAAATACCTTTGAAGCTTGCT